CTCTTTCAAATTTTTGGGGTGAGTAGGACTGCTTCTAGACTTTGGCTAACATGGACTGGAGCTGGTTAACAAGGAAATTTTAAGATTCACAATAAGATTTTTGTTAGCAGGTCTCCCTCTATGGAAATAAATGTGTGTGCTTCCAGACATATGTCAGATTGAGCAAAATTGGTCTTGGACTGTGGCTGAGGAAAGGTTTCAGTACCACTTCAAGATCAACTTTCAGATCAATATTGGTGGCTCTACATTCAGGAACACAGATGGATGTTTCTCCCTGATAATCTCTGTGAAGGCAGGATTTCACACACAATGGCTGAGAAGTGAAAAGGGTGGGTTCTAGGTTGATTCAGTTGCCAAAGATAGGACCACGGTCTGCAGGCCTATTTATCTGAGACACAGGTTGGATTTGAATCTTCCTGTGTACCTTTGCTGATGGTGCTAGTGGCAGGACCAAGGTTAAATGGGCTATAGCTAAGTCTACAGTGGGATGTGGTCATTTTTTATTCTGTTGCCAGGACTACTATTGGCAAGTCTGCCACTGTGTCATGGTCCAGCTCTCTCAAAATCATCCTCTTCAATCTTGGGTGTCACCAAGGTATCACAGACCCTGACCTGGATCCCCAAACTCCCATAAAGCCTCTCTTGTTTGGGCATGGCTATCTGACGTGGCCCGATTACAGGACGGGGGATAAACACAGAACATAAAATAACACCACAGACGCACATGGACATGACAATGACTTGAGTGACCAATGCACCGGTCGCTTTATTTTTATACCCCCCAGACCCAAGGTTAGTTCCTTATATGTGAGCATCTGAGCATAGCAGGGATATTAGTCAATTCTGGAGTTGTTTCAAAAGGGAACAATTTCCCATGGTATCAGACCTCAAAACGGTTACTTGAGATGCCCAGCGCTGGACATAACTCAAAAACCTAGGCTGAGATAAGCAATATTGAACAATGCAGCCATTAGAAGAACTTCCCATGCTCTCTGCCAGCCTGCGACTCTCTTCCCAGCCAGCGGCTGACCCCCACGGTTGTGTCTGTCTTAGGTCACCCCCCATGGGGCGTCTTACCCGTCATTGACTACCAACCTTCATACGGGTTTGGATCTTGGGAATGTTCTTATCTTTATGGCTTCCAGACTCCCACCACGGGGGCCCTCCATGTGGGAGCTAGGCAACATATGCTTATGTGCAGAAACTCAGGCCTCTTGTTATGTCCCAAGGCAGTGCTGGCTAGAAGAAAATGTCGACTACCGCTGTGTCAGGCAGCACACGTACATTACAGGCTATAGTGAATGATTAGTATAAGGCATAACACCAGAATCAGCCCCCAACACCATCACATTATGTTGCTGGGGGTATGAGTGGGAGACCTCCTATTTTGTCGTTTTGATTATGACACTCCTATATGTTTCACTTTCTGAAATGTTATATATCAATTTGTACATGTTTGTTAGATTCAAAAGTTCTGAAATAAAATGCTAAATTTACATGTTGTGTAAGAAGTAAATCAGATTACTAGTGGGCACCACATATTTATTAAAATGTTTGGTTTTAAGTTCAAGTTTATCACAGGCAACAAGGGATCAGTAACATTTATCAATTTTTCTCAGATTATATTTAAATGATGGTATAATTTAATACTAAATATTTAGTTTTTATTTCAGTAATTTATACAATATTTTATAACATTTATGTTGTTCCTTCATTTGAAAATGTAAAGATTTTCTTAGCTTCCAAAGGCTGTATTATTGCAATTAGAAAAGAGAAAGAATTAAAGTCATTCAAATTGGAAAGTATGAAGACAAATTGTCCTTGTTTGTAGACAAAAGAATCTCATATTTAAAAAAAAAACCTTAAGACTACACCACACAAAATAAACTGTAGGAATTATTAAAAATCTGTAAAGTTTCCGAATACCAAATCAACATTAAAAATAGCATTTCTGTACAATAGTGGTAAATGAAAAAAGAAATTTTAGAATTTTGTAGAAAAGATACAAAGAACAAGTCAGTCCATTGTGAGTTCTTGTTTGTATATAATGCAAGGTAAGGTCCAACTTCAATTTGTCTAATTTGGATTTCCAGTATTCCTAACTTTACTTTGTGAAGATACTGTTGTTTCCACATTGTGATATTTTTGAGCCTTTGCTGAGTATAAGTTGACTATATACATGAGCGTTTACGGAGGCTTTCTAATCTGTTTCATCGTCTGTCTGTCTTGATGCAAGTATCACACTGTTTTGAATACTGTAGCTTTGTAATATGTTTTGAAACCAGAAAGTATGATGCCTCTAACTTCATTTTTCTATTCCAATATTGTTTGATTGGTCCTTTAAGATCAAACATTTTTCATCCTTTGAGATTCCATAAGAATTTCAGAATATTTTAACACTTGTGCAAAAACTTCCATTGGTATTTTTGATAGAGATTTCTTAAAACCTGTAGATCACTTTGGGTAACATTAGCATATTAACAATATTAAGTCTTTTAGCTCTTGAACAAAAGTGTTTTCAAGAGTTTTTGTTTTTGTTGTTTGATTTCCACATAGTTGTGGACATATGACTTTTCTTTTGGTTTGTACCTCTAGTTTTATTCTATTATAGTCAGAAATAATATTTTGTGTGATTTCTATATGTTTAAATTCATTGAGACTCTTTTTTGTGGCTTACCAGGTTGTCTTTCTGGAATAATGTGTCATGTGTGCTTAAGAATAGTGTTTATTCTACTATCGTTGAGTGGGGAGTTCAGTATAAGTTCAAGTATAATTAATTTGTAAGGTTGTTCAAGTCTTCTGTTTCCCTTTTGTTCTTTTGCCTGTTTATTTCTTTTCATTATTTAAAGTGTGGTATCAAATTATCCTACTATTATTGTGCTGCTCTCTGATTCCTGTTTCAGTTCTATAAAAGGTTGCTTAATATATTTTGGAGCTGTGATGGTCAGTGCATATTTATCAATACTTGTGATAGCTTCCTAATCAATGGACTCTTTTGTTATTATACAATGTCTTTTATTGTCCCTTGTGGCAATATTTGATGTAACATTTTTTCAGTGTGAGAGTATTTGACATTGCATTCACTACCATTTTTCAATTCTTTTCCTTTCAGTCCATGTGTGTTCTTACATCTAAATTGAGTCTTTTGTAGAAAGCATAGACTTGGATCTTATTTCTTGAATTTATTCAGACAAAATATGATTGATTTAATTCATTTATATGGAAAGTATATACTGAAAGGGAGTGACTATTGCTTTTTAATTATTTCTGTAAGTCTTATAGGTATTTTGTTCTTGTTTTCTTTTACTGTCTTTCTTTGTGTTTTGTTGATTTTTGTAGTGACATGTTTTGATTCCTTCTCATTTCCTTTTATGTATCTACTACACTCCTATTAATTTTTTTTTTCTGTAAACCCCAGGAGCATTGAGATGTGTATCTACTACAGATATTTTCTTTGTAGTTACCATAGATATTAAATCAAACTTCTGAAAGTTACATCAAACAATTTTAAGCTGAAAACATTAATTCCATTCAAACTCCCTGCCTTTTTTTATCCCCAATTTCATTCTGTTGATGCCACAAATTATATATTTTTATGCTGTGTACCATTAACACAAATTTATGGCAAATCTATAGCAGAATTATTAATAAAAGTATTTTACCATCATTATAACACAGAATACCAAATTATATATGCATATAATTACATTTTTCATAGAACTTTATATATTCACATCACAATGTGGCTAATATTTTACATTTAAATGTGAAGAATTGACTGTCTTTAGAATTTGTGTAGGGTATGTCTCTTGAGTATATATTTTTTAAGATTTCTTGATATTTGAAATTTTTTGTTTTTAACTAATTTTTAAGGGACAGTTTTGCCAGAAATAGTGTTCTTGGTTGGTAGCTGTCCCTTTTTCAGCACTTTGAATATATCATACTACACCTTTCTGGCCTGCAAGGGTTTTTTTGCTAAAAAATCTGTTGATCATTTTTACCCTTGTACATGCCAAGTACTTTATTGTTTGTTTTGTTTTTGCTGATTTCAAGATTCTCTTTGTAACTTTAAAATTTTTAATTATACTGTATCTTGTATGGGTCTCTTTCTGTTGTTCATAGTTAGACTAGGTTGAGCTTCTTTAAATTTTATGCTATTTTCTCTCTCAAATTTAGAAAATTCTCAGATATTATTTTTTCAGGTAAGCTCTCTACTCATTTTTCTCTCTTCTTTCATTATAGAATTCCCATTAGGAATATTTGGCATGCTTGATGATAGTATGTCCCTCAGGCTCTCTTCACCTTTCTTCATTTTTTCTTTTTGCTCTCTTGACTATAATTTCAAATGGCCTATTATCAAGCTTGCTGGTTTTTTTCTGCTATATCAAGTCTAGTGATGATCCTCTCTAGTGAATCTTTAAATTCAGTTATTTCATTTTTCGGTTCCATACTTTTCTGTGTGTGTGTGTTTTAGTTTTAATATGTTTGCAAATAATCTCATTTTCTTTATATATTGCTCTCCTCCTTTTATTTAATTGTGTGTATTATTCAGCTGATAGGGCATCTTTAAGATAGATATTTTAAATATTTTTAACATTACTTTATAGATCTTCACTTCTTTAGGGTCACTTGAATATTTTTGTCCTTTTATTCAACTGTGTTTCTTTGTTTCTTTGATATATTTTCATTTTTAATGAGATTTGTGTCATTTAAAAAATAACTACCTATTTCATCCTTTAGAGAAAAATTTAGCTCCATACAGCCATGCTACACATTCAGGGCACTTCTCCAAACTGCTGGCAGGATGTGTCTTCTCTGGAGTACTCTGTATATTTTCCTACTAAAATGGTTTGTCTATTTCTTATGAAAAGCCCTTAATCTTTACCCTCCATAATGAATTCTATATGTTCTGCACTTTTCTCTGTTGCTGTAATAGTTATTCATCTTTGTTCTCACTGGACTCAGCATGTCATTTACACTCTATCTGCATTTCTTTTCAGCACTACCTGTTAAAGGAAGCAATAACCAGTGTTTTGAAAGCCCCAGAGAAACCCAAGACTTTGGATATAAGATTGGATTCAGTGTTCAGTCAAATATTTCTGATGACTCAAGATTTAAAATTAAAGAAAATATTTCTAAATGTGACCAGTTTGATGAGCCCATTGTTAAACCCTTATTATTCTTCCACAAACCAATAATACCATCAGATGCCAAAATCTACAACTGTGATCAGTATGATGAGGTGTTTACCCAATCATCATTGCTTAATCAACATCAGGGAATAAATAATTGGGAAGAACTTTATATATCCAATAAAACTTCAATGTCCTTTATCCAAAACTCTACCCTAAATAATTACCAAGATATTCATGTTGATGAGAGAATTTATCAATGCAGTAAACCTGAAAAAACCTTGAACCAAATCTTATGTTCTAGGAAATACCAGAAAGCTCAATATCCAGAGATCCAATATAAATGTAAAAAATGTGAGAAAGTCTTTCATCAATGCTTAAAGTTTATTAGCCATGAGGATATCCATATTCAAGAGTATTTCTACAAATGTAATGAATGTGAAAAAGCTTTTGTCCAGTCAGGGAAACATTCTCAAAATAAGGGAATTCGTATTGGAGAATACTCACACAGACCTTATAAATGTGTGAAAGTCTTTAATCAGTCATCCAATATAAGAAAACATAACATAATCCATACTGAAGAAAACCTCTACAGATGTAAAGAATATGGCAAATCCTTTAACCAGAGTTCACAGCTTGAACATCAGAATATTTATACTGAGTATGAATCCTACATATGTAAGGAATGTGGCAAAGCCTTTACTCAGTATTCAGTTCTTCAACAACATCAGAGAATTCATACTGTAAAAAAACTGTACAAATGTGAAGAATGTGGCATATCCTTTACCCAGTCAGCAAGCCTGAGGATACATCAGGTAGTTCATACTGGAGAAAAAGCCTTCAAATGTAAAGAATGTGGCAAAGCCTTTACTCGGTTTTCAAATCTTAGACGACATCAGAAAATTCATACTGGAGAGAAACCCTATAAATGTGAAGAATGTGGCATATTCTTTACCCGGTTGGCAAGCCTTAGAAGACATCAAGTAGTTCATACTGGAGAAAAACCCTACAAGTGTGAAGAATGTGGCATATCGTTTACTGAGTCAGCAAGCCTTAGAAAACATCAGGTAGTTCATACTGGAGAGAAACCTTACAAATGTGAAGAATGTGGTAAATCCTTTAGCCATAGTTCATACCTTACTAAACATCAGAGAATTCATACTGGAGAAAAACCCTACAAATGCGAAGAATGTGGCAAAGCTTTTACCCAGTCAGCAAGCCTTAGAATACATCAGGTAGTTCATACTGGAAAGAAACCCTACAAATGTGAGGAATGTGGCATATCCTTTACCCAGTCAGCAAGCCTTAGACTACATCAGGGAATTCATACGGGAGAGAAACCATACAAATGTGAAGAATGTGGTATATCCTTTACCCGGTTGGCAAGCCTTAGAAGACATCAGAGAATTCATACTGGAGAAAAACCCTACAAATGTGAAGAATGTTGCATATCCTTTACTCAGTCAGCTAGCCTTAGAATACATCAGGTAGTACATACTGGAGAGAAACCATACAAATGTAAAGAATGTGGCAAAGCCTTCACTCGGTTTTCAAATCTTAGACGACATCAGAAAATTCATACTGAAGAGAAACCCTACAAATGTAAAGAATGTGGTAAATCCTTTAGACATAGTTCATACTTTACTCAACATCAGATTATTCATACTGGAGAGAAACCATACAAATGTAAGGAATGTGGCAAAGCCTTCACTCATTTTTCAAATCTTAGACGACATCGGAAAATTCATACTGGAGAGAAACCTTACAAATGTGAAGAATGTGGCATATCCTTTACACAGTCTTCAAGCCTTAGACAACATCAGGGAATTCATACTGGAGAGAAACCCTACAAATGTAAACACTGCGATAAAATCTTTTACTGTAATTCACACCTTACTCAACATCAGAGAATACATACTACAAAACCCTTATAGATATAATATATGTGAAAAGAGTTTTATCCCAAATATACAACTTAGAAATCACCAGAGAGTTCATAGAAAAACAAACTTTACTGGTGCAATAAATGCATGGAAGTATTTAATAAAAACTTAAATATAAGTGTATCAGGGGATTCATACAAGTGACAACTAAAGCACACTTTCAGACTTTACACTAACCCAAAGTATTTATTGTAGAGAATAATGTGAAGTGAAAGCACTTAGATAATTTATCTGATCATATTTTTCAAAAGAGCAAGAGTATTGATGTTTAGACAGGTACAATTATATTCCATGGGTACTTTGTATTGACAGTATTTGAAATTTTTCAAACACAAATATTAATGTAATTCTCAAATTAGTTGATGCTGTGCTTTCATTCTTAATGTTTATATAAAAATATGTGATCTGTTAATTTTGGATCAGAGCTATGAGGGGGTCATTCAATATTAGGTGAATATGATTAATATCAGTTTTTCCCTGAAAGTTTACTGGCAAATGGAAAATATTAAGAAAATGTAAAGAAAGTTATTTTTTGTGTTTGAGTCATAAAACAATGATGCAGGTAAGTATACAGTATGTAATCTAGTTTTTTTTTCTTCTGTATTAAAGTAAGAGAGAAACATTCCAAGTTTTCAAAATAAATAATTTTGCCAGTTGTCCATAAGTAGGAAAAAACTGGCCAGTTAGTTAAAATACTGACATATCTTTACAGTAGAATCAAATAGAAGTCTTGAATATTATTTGATGTGATAGAGGACATAGAAACCTTGAATGTTATTTGATGTAATAGAAATAAAAACATCTTCACAGATATCAGAGTAAAATGAAGATAACTCCTATCTGAATGGTTGTATATGTATGATATATGTTGACATAGTTCTAATAAAGATTATATGAAAGTATAATTCAAAGTCTTACCTTTAAATCCAAAATCTCCATTCATAAAATTTTACCCAATAGTTTTCTTTGCACATGGCCCTTTCCTGGGCCAATTGAACACATAGAGATGATTTGTTTAGATTTATATTGAATGCACTATACAATATATTGAGCTAAAAACAAACTTTGTGTAAGAGAACTATAAGAGGAAGAAATGCGTGTGTGTGTGTGTGTGTGTACCTGTCTTCAGAAGAAAATAGAAATAATGGATAAAAACATAATTTCACAAGATTTGATGATTTACAATCAAACTAGATTGTACAAATTCTCAAAGCAAATTTAGCTTCTCTATTGCAGGGGTCCTGAAACTTTTTAAATAGGGGGCCAGTTCACTGTCCCTCAGATTGTTGGAGGGCTGGACTATAGTTTTAAAAAAACTATGAACAAATTGCTATGCACATTGCACATATCTTATTTCAAAGTAAAAAAACAAATGGTCAAAAACACCCGCATGTGGCCTGCGGGCCATAGTTTGAGGATGCCTGCTCTATTGTATGTTAAACTTATTTTTCACAAATCTCATGTCTCCAGGGTGCAGAATCCCCCCCATGGAAATCCTGTCCTTTTACTTGCTGCCTATTCAGTTAAAGTAATTATATAATTTTCTTATCCTTCAAATTGTTGAACAAAGATGGACATCCTTACACTTTAGGCTAAGGCAGTGTCCACCCTTCAAGCTGCACAAAATAGCAGGATAGATTTTCCAACTGCATCTTCTCAGTTTCAAACTTATTCACAAAGCTAGCTGGTAACATGGATGTAGAAGCTTTCATATCTTTTTCTAATAGTAATTGTTCATCTAGCTTTTTTACCTTCATCTCAGCTGATAACTGGCTTCTGTGACTACTTACAAAGCTCCTAGTAATGGCCAATCCACTGGCAATGCCACATGGTGATCTTCCTTACCTTAGGGGTAATGCAGTTTTCTTTAGTCTGTCTGGAATTTTAGGGGCATCCCTCTACTCAGGAGTCGGCATGCATCTTACAAATGAGCAACATCACCCAAAATAGATGAGAAGTAACACTCCAGACTTTTCACTTTAATACTTCTTCTTGCCCATACTTTAGTTACTGGATTTGTCCTGACTAGCTCATCTGTTGTTATGTAAAATGTCTATAAATGCAATGTTATGCTCATTCCTGGCAGAAGGAGCCTGGAAACCATAGAAGAAGCAGACAAATCCAATTTGTCAGTAGAGGGGGATTTATTATAGAATTTATGGATAAGTGCATGGTCATGGGTGGCAACAAGAAAAATTGATCTCCATGCTGTTACACCCCAGATACAGGGCTTATAGACTATATGAAAAGAGTATACATATTCATGTGGAGAACAATTAAAGTTGACCTTCCAGGAAAAGACAAAAATACCAATGGTATGTACATCATAGCCTGTAATTTGTGTCATAACATCAAGGTTGTTTTGACCTAAGGACAGTATTTATGGTAGTGTGTACTTTTATACACGGAACAGTTGATAAAGTAAAAATCTGAGAGACATTCCCAGACCTGGGGTTAGTTAGAAGTCAACATGGTATATTAGCATCCAAGAGGGAGGTACTTTAGACTCCACAAAGCTCTCTGTCTAGTACTATGGAGATCTTAGAGTTCAGAGGAGCCCAGTGAACACTCAACCAGGCAGTTTGAATCTCTTTGATTCTCAAATAAATGACAATTGAACTTGCATAAGTCCCCATTATGCCCAAATTTATTCTTCCTTCTTTTTCCTCTCTAAAGAAAAAGTTACAGAAATTTAAAGAATCTTCCCCCAAAGGAAACACACTAAACAGAGTCTGCTCATCAGTGTAAAGTGGAGGCCAGGAGATGGGGAGCAAGTATTTGGGGGGGCAGAGAAAATGGCAAGGTTGAAAGAGGTACTGGGACAGGCATGAATGTGTGTTTTGCCTTCTCACTGAAAGTTTACTTTAAAAATACAAATCACCAGTCATGTCTAATCAGGGCTAAGAGGAAGAGAGATGTGTTTGTGGACAGGTCAGAAACACTGACCTGTAGAGACTCCTGTGGAGGCAGGAGGCCCTGGTAATGTGATGTGCTGATGACAGCTGGGATGTTCAGCAGGAGTGATGAACTGGCAGAATTACCAGTTCTCTGGCTCCAATGATGGTCCATCCTATTGATGCATTGCTTTCTCCAGGCTGTTGGGTAGATATGGTAGGGCATTTACTTCCTATACCAAATTACTCAGGAAGCCAAATCCATTCTGCTGCATCTGTCTATACTGCATGGGGCTGGGCTGGATGCCTACACTGGGTATGGGGATGGCCATTCCATGGGCCAGTTGGGCATATAGGCTGCCCAGCTTTGAATTCCATTCAGGGGGCATTACTGGGTACAGACACGTTTTTGGTGTGACTCTCCACTCTGCCCCTTTGTAGACACTGCTAGTCAATCATAGGATTATTAGCCCAGTGATCAGTTAGCAGTGACATGTGTTCCAGGTGGCTTAAGAAAAGGATCTAGGAGACTCATGCATTCCTACCTGACCAGACCTCAGAGCCTTCCATATAAATGAGGAAGCAAAGTGTCATCACCAGTTACCCTGTGAAGACCCTGTCTTATTAGTCCCAGATAGCACCTTGGGTGACCACTTTCTGAGTGGAGGAAGAGACAGTTCTTTGCAAACTCCTTTCCTTAGGATTGTGAAACAATCCTTTACAGTGGTCTCTTGTGGGCAGAAAATTCCAGTGGGGCTGGGGCAGGAAGAAGCCACTCAACTAGGCCTCCCACTATACCCTGTCCCTCTCCTAGCATGGCTTGGCTTGGCTGGGGAACTAGACAAGCATAGAGACCCCAGAAGTTGGGACCCAGATCAGTGGTTGTGCTGACCACAATTACCCTTGTGATTGCCACAATGAAAGAAATTTCAATGTAAATCTGTAGCTATCTGCAATAGCATGGATGAATATAAAAAATATAAAGTTGCATAAAAGAGAGTAGATGTAAAAGTATATGTGGTGTAAAATTTCATTTATATAAGTGAATAAATAGAAAAAGCAAAGAAATCTGAGGTTCTGGCTTTCAGTAATGGTGGAGTAGCTTGTTGAATTACCACTCTCACAAATATGATAAAAAGCTTAAAATATTCGATATCATTGTGTAGAAAAATGCATCTAAATTATTATAAATAATATGGTATATGTATGCATAAGCACTAGAGTATTTCATCTGTGCCCAGTGTAGGGAATATAGGTATTAAAATTTGGATACAGCCAAGTTAACTTCCTCTTCAAAAAATAATAATACTCTTAAAAGTGTTATAACAAAACCCAGAGTGTCTCTATAACTATCATTTATAGTTAATAGTCACAATTTTAAAAATTCATGAGACGTGAAAAACACGAAAATGTAATCCATACACATGATAACAAGCAGGCAGTAGAAGCTATTCCAAGATGTCCACGATGCTGTAATCAGACAAGTATTTGAAAACAGCTATTATATATATGTTTAAAGGAGTAAAAAAGAATTCTCATAATGATTTAACAGATGTAGAACCTCCATAGAGAAATAGAGCCTATAAAAAAGAATCAAAGAAAAAGATAATAAAAAGAAAAAAATTATTTTTGAGCTTATCCACAGATTAGAAAAAGAAGACAAAGCAATAGACATTATCCAATTATCTGAAGAGTGAAAAAATTATTAGAGCCTTAGAGACCTATAGAATGATGGAGTCTGAGAGAGGGGAGAGATAGAAAAAGTAAATGGAGTACAAAAGTAAATCAACAACTAATAGCCAAAAACTTCCACAAATTTGTTAAAAACATACACTGTTATAGCCAAACCCCCTGCCCCCCAAAAAAGTACAAATGAAACCATACCAAGGGCATATTGTGATTTAGGAAACTGGCTAGGCAGATTTTCTTTTCTTTTCTTTTCTTTTCTTTTCTTTTCTTTTCTTTTCTTTTCTTTTCTTTTCTTTTCTTTTTTTTTTTTTGAGGTGGAGTCTCACTCTATCACCCTGGCTGAAGTGCAGTGGTATGATGATAGATCAATGCAGCCTCCAACTTCTGGGCTTAAGTAATCCTCCTGCCTCAGCCTCCCAAGTAGCTGGGAATATAGGTGTGCATAGGGCAGGATTTTTGATTGACTTGCTATGAGTTTCAATTTTTACTATTTATAATTATGGAAAATAGGTTGTTCTTAAAGGTTTTTTTTTCCTAGAAGAAAGTCTGACATATCAGGCATAGCTTACTGACAGTTATTTAAGGAAGACGACTTTCCAGCCTTGTTTTAAAGTTTTAATTTCCCACCTTGGAAGCCACTTAAATTTGTTTCTTTCAAATCCTGTAGTAAAACTGATGCTCCAGAAAGATGTGCAATGGACATTCTGGTCTTCTACATCCTACCTGCACAGAACTGAGGCTGTGCCCAATCCAATTTCAGAAGCTTGTAATAGTGTAGCACTTAATCTGAGAAGCTAAATGGAAAAGTGAATTAAGAAAATTATCACTGTTAAGTTCCAATAGTAAATTATTAAAAGTGGTTCCAAAGGGATATTTAAAAAGGGATATCAAAAGAATTTACAAAGGGTGAATTATTCAGGTCAGAAATGCAGACAATGTATTATTACCTGAGTACACACTTTGCTAATGTTTTGGGAAGGACCATGGGGCACCTTGGGTCCTGTTGGCTTGTGTCATTTATGGCCAAGAGGTCCTAAATAGAACACCCAAGTCCTGGGAACCAGCCTGGGTGGGAATCACAGAAGTGGTGGATGTGGCCCCCAAAGCAGCTTAGAGGTTCTCTTGCTTGTGTGGCTGAGTTTCCTGACTGTATGAAGCAGACATAAGGCCTTTCCTATGTGATTTCTTTAACAGTGGTAGAAGAGTTCCTCTAAGAGAACTGACCCATACATGGGCTATGCTGCCAACCTAGGCATCCAAGCAGTGCTTCTGAGGTGCAGAGAGGGATCTGTTACAGCCTGGAGGAATAGAAAGGTGGCTTT